AACGTTTTTCTGAATTCGGCCGATAATAATTACGATTTTGTAAAATTTTATATAACTTTTCTTCTCAGTTTAACCCAATATACTATAATCTTTGGGATTGTCCATATCGAATCTGACACCCTGTATAAACGTTATATTGACTGCTTATGACATATTTATTACAATCATTACATCAATCACAAACATTAGTATATCAGAATTTTATCACATTTAAAATTATGAAACGTCTGATATTGCGATACATAATTTCTACGTTGACTTTTATTATTAACGATAGATATAAGATTAGATATAACTTGTGCAAAGTTTATAAGTCAATATTATACGCAAATTATATGTATACGTTACTGTAAACAGCATAGAATTTAAGGTATCACCTCTTATTGTTCCACGCTGCATCAAAGATGGCAGGATGTTCTCATACAATGGAACGCCGGTGATGTGATTAAAAGCTTTTATTTATCGTTAATAAAATTCGTGAATAAAAGTCAACGTAGAAATTATGTGTCGCAATATCAGACGTTTCATAATTTTAAATGTGATAAAATTCTGATATACTAATGTTTGTGATAATAGTTGTGATTGATGTAATGATTGTAATAAATATGTCATAAGCAGTTAAATATAATGTTTATATATTACTATCTACATGTCTCTATTCCAGGTAGAACATAAAATTCATAAAGACGTCATTATGACATTATCATGATTTTATTCAACATTTAAAAGTTTTCTAGATGTGTCCAGATAACTTTTATGTGATAAATAAAATTGTGATAGTCATAATGACGTCATTATGAGTTTTATGTTCTATCTGGGTTGGGATTATTGTTAATCAAATCAAGACCTTTTTATGACTACTTTTTATATTATACATTTTTATAATAATAAGCAGTTATACAGTCAAAAAACGTATCACATTTTCTAAATATTAAGAAAAAAAAATTGTTTTAAGAAGTCAATATAAAGTCATTTTTAAGTCATCTGAAATTAAGATTTTTAATCATGACCAAAAAAATGATGTAAATTTGGTCAATTTGATGTCAAATTGACATTATTTTGACTTTTCTGTTCTCCTTGGGTTGCATTTTACGCCACCTTATATGACCCTGTCTCTCTACTGTCAAGCTGAGCTGGCCTATTTCTCGTGCAAAGGACGGTTTTGTGTATCAGTTCGCGTACCTCAAGAATTTTGCGTTTCGTGGATTGACGCTGCTTTGTGCACATCTAGCGTCAACTTTGTTTCGCGTTTGACTTGTTTTTTCACCCTTGTCCCTCTTGTTCTCTTTTCCCTTCTCTTTTCCTTTCCGCTTCTCTCGTTTTTGCCATTTCTATCGTTTTTTATCGCGCGTGCCCCGTCACATGTCTAGTCTAAGCGCGGCAGAGGCAAAAGATCATGTAACAGTATACGAAATATCTACAATTCTTTTAATATTATATGATTATAACAGATTTTTAACGTAGAGCAAAATTAAAATATTTTACTTAAATAAATTAAAGAAAATTTTATTTAAACTTGCAATAATTGATGGATCTTGAAAGTTTTATTTCTTGATAAATTCAATAATGTCTGAATCTAATAATATAATTAATATAAATAATACTTTCTACATTTGTTTAAGTAAATAATATGCTGATGTAACAATAAATACATAAAAATATCTTAATTGCTTGATGTGTGTAGTTTATGAAAGAATAAAAAGTTTTCCTCTTCAGTTGACTTACATAATGCTAATAGACGTGACTAAGTCAGAAATTGATTACAATTATCGTTGAATGCTTATCGCAGTGTACTTATTTTACTAGTCGTGTTATTATCTTAGTGCTATTATCTTATAGTTTCAGTGTGTTTTTCGCTATTCGAGTAATAACTTGTATGTTACAGGTAAGACAATTGCTCATTTTATCAATTTCTTATTTATGTCACGGTATCAAAATTTTAATTTGAGACAGAAGATTTATAAAAATCGAATAAGATGTATTGTTATGAGGATTATATAATTTATATAAAATGTAACTTTTTTGAAACAAGCTATACTTTATTCTGTTTAGAGTGAAATCTTTGTATTTATTTCTAAGCACTTGTATTTTTATCATAAATATATATAATTTGATATATTTATTAACTGTTTCTGTTAGTAACTGTACTTACTAGTAGTAATTTTATTTAAGTAAAAACTGTCTTTAAGATTGTAACTTCAATTGATTGAATGATTTCTGAAAATTTAATATCTTGGCAAGTACCTGGGAAAAAATTTTCACATATGATCATATATAATCATATATGCTCATATACGAAAAATGTCCATATATAAGATACCATGTGTATCATATATGATCGTATATGATAATGTATTTGTCATATATACTGTAAAGCCATAAAGTATTTTATTAAAATCTACATGACAGGAAATTAATAATAAGATATCTAATTATGTGTTTTTCGAAATTATAAATTTTTCTAATTTTTATTTTAACTGTGTAATTATAATATATTGCTAAGTATTTATTAATAAAAATTTTCAATCACTATTGTCTTTCGGATATATCGTGGTAAAAGTGTTAAGAACATCACTAGTATATTTATGATGATTATAATATTTAATTTTTTACAAGAAAAACGAATTTTAAGAAGTAAAACATTTTAATTACTGTTTGCAACTGTTTGCAAAAATATAATAATCATAGTCTATCAGTGAGGTGATTAATTTGATTTCTTGAGATATTTACAAGAAATCAAATTAATCATCATACCTCACTGATAGACCATGATTATTATATTTTTAAGCTATTGACTTAATTTATTCTTATTACAAATATTATCATTATCAGCAGATTCTATCGCAAAATGAAGTTCCGCCGTGAGATGTTTATTTGTCCATTGATTATAGCTTCGGCTATAGCAATGATGCAAATTGTAAGTAATTATACTGTCTAAAGTTTTTGAAGTGAAAATAGAATCATGGAGTGAAATATTCGCTCTATTGGAGCAAATATTCACTCCATGGTTCTATTTTCATTCCAAAATTTTAGAGAATACCACATATTAGATTATATTTTCGATTCATAAGGTTTGAATTTATTTAACATTTGTTTTTATTCGGTTTTATCACATATAATAAAAAGCATATTTTTGAATTTTATAAAATTATTTAGAATTGTTAGCTAAATGTACAATATATGTATACATATGTATATAGGAACATGAGGTAAATTGAAATACACAAAATTTATCTATTGTATGTTACTACACGTTTATTCCTGAAATAAAACTAATAATTTTGTTAATATAGCTCTTTGAAAAGGTAAGAGTAGGTAATTTAGAAATTTTAACTTCTTGTTGGAGAAAACTTTTTTATCTGATTTTAATGAGACAAATTTTTAACTTTAAATTTTTGTCGAAAAAGCTGTTTCTACGAGTAAGCCAAAACTTATACCTTCTGTATAAAAAGTACCCGGAATCGGTCATTTAAATGAACCGCTTTAAAGGAATCGGCAAATTGTTTTTTTCCTAGGTTAGTAGTACCTTCCTTAATTACCAAGTCAAGTTTGAGCGCCTTCTGTCAACTAGTGTGTTTACAACAGCCGTTAGTATCAGTCGGCCTTAGAAGTGCTCTGCGAATTTTACTATGGATAAAATAGTTGAACAAAGAGTTTGCCTTAAATTTTATGTTGCAAACAAAATTTCTTGTGCCGAATCATTAAAAATGTTAAATAAGGCCTTTGGTGACTCGTCTATGTCGAAAACACAGGCATACGAGTGGTATAAATCGTTCAAAGAGGGGCCTGAAGTGGTCGAAGATTTGCCTCGTTCCAGATGGCCGTTAACGTCAACTACTGGCGATAACATCGACAAAATAAAAAAATTAGTTCTTGAAAATCGTCGTTTGAATGTTAGAGAGTTGGCTCGAGAGTTGAGGATTGATAAAATGACCGTTCATGGAATTTTGACCAATGTTTTGGGCATGATGATAATGCGCCATCTCACAGAGCAACAATTGTGGCCGAATACAAAGCCAAAAACTCAATTAATACCATTGAGCAACCACCGTATTCGCCGGATTTAGCTCCCTGTGACTTTTTCCTCTTTCCTAAACTGAAATTGGCACTCTGTGAAAGTCGATTGAAGCCGTTTCAAGTCGATTGAAGCCATCAAACAGAATTCGCAGCGCGAACTGAAGGCCATACCTTCTTTGGCCTATGAGAGGTGTATGGAGGAGTGGGTCAGGTGTTATCACAGTTGTATTGCAAACACTACTTGGGGACTACTTTGAACGCGACAGAATAAAGTTTGATGAATAATTTTTAATTTATGTGTTTTTTTAACAATTCCTGGTACTTTTTATACAGAAGGTAAATTACTTTACCCTTCCGAAGAAATATGTTGACGAAATTAACTGATAAGAAAGCAATGTACAAATTTCCAATTCGTATTTTTTAAATTTCTTTTTTTTATGTTTTAATATTAATGATGTTGAAATTATCATGTATCTTTCTCGTTTTCAATGTTTAATAACAATGTTAGAATATATGTTTCTCATTTTAAAAAATTAATCCTTTTACTAAGGGCTAGTTTCACAAACGTCGGTTAACTGTTAACCAGAGTTCAGTCGACTCCTTATCTTTTTCCATCTTATTATTTAAGTAGAGACGGAGAATTAATTAACCTTCGGGTAACAGTTAACCGATGCTTGTGAAACTAGCCCTAAATAATATGTTATTAATTTTAAAATATTTTCTCTTAACCCTCAAACACAGTATAAATTAGAACGATAACAAACATTTTTGGCACAATTCAAAGTTACAAAACAAATTAACCCTTATCCCGATTCACAATTCAATACCAAAAGTCCTTGAAGAACACTAATACTCTATTAGTGTATTAAAAGGATACTCTATTAGTGTACTAAAAGTAAGCCCAATACTTCAAGCTTAATAGTAGTAACTTTATAGCATTAACGGGAGAGGTATTTTTCCAAAGGAGTCGACCAAACTGGCAAAAAGGTGATCTTTATTTAGTTCACAACGTTTCGACCTCTATTAGGTCCTTTTCAAGTGTCGTCTGGAAACGATTTTTTACATTATTCGTTCATTATATCGCCATTTCTGCATAATCTTTACCAGAATCATCGACAACGACGAAGAAGACAAAGGAAATGGATAAAATCCTGCCAATCACTAATCGTCTATTTTGTGAAATTATGTATATGAACTAGGCACGTAGTTTCCATTCATGTAGCCGGCAAAGTTGCAGTGTTTGTGAGGGGCCATTCACGAACAACGTTATTCTATTGCCAAAGTGAGGTTGTATAAGTGGCAAATGGGCACTGCCGCCACACAGCCCACCGGACTCATTTTCTGGTTTTTGACCAGGATCCAGTCATTTAGCCATTCGATTTTGATTAGATTTCTTAATATTTTACCTCATACTATGTCTGTGTCAAGTTTCATGACGATTGGTTTTGTACCACAAAATTTTCCCAATTTTATATACTCCTTTGTCGGATGTGGAATAACTCACCCTGTATATGTATGTATAATTAGCAATATTATCTCAGGCCTTGAATTGTTTATACGTTGCATAAATGTATATTTTTACCTTGTGCCTTAACATTTACATTTTGTTTTAAATCTTGTTTTTATTCTTCAAAGTCTTTAAATATATACAGGGTGTTTCATTTTAATCTAGCCAGGCGAATATTTCAAACGCTGTTGAGTTTAGACAAAAATGTTTCAGACAAAAGTTGTATGGTTTCTAGGGGGACATAAGATGGTACCATTGGTTTGTCCTTGAAGAATTATTTAAAGGTCACATAAAGGACACACCAATTCTTTTAAACGGCATTCCCTTATATTTTTTATTACATATTCTAGTAGCTGACCTCGAGAGCTTTCCAAAACGCTTTAATAAAGTATTTTTTATTAAGAACTTTTTGAGTTATTAAGGTTTGAAATTTCCAATATTTTGACATAAATTACAAAATATCTTGTAAAATATTCATTTTTTTATCATCTTACCTTAATACTTTGTTGAACAGAATAATGATACAAATCAACCGGTGTAAAGAAAACACACAATTTTGTAACAAATAATAAAAAAAATGTTTTTTTAACAATTGTGTGCAACATGTATACACCAGCCACGGGGGCAATACCCCACCAGTTCGCTAGCACAAATCCCCGCCCCCTAGCTACGGGTAGAGAGGAAGTGCGCCGGCGGAACCGGACCCCATGATGATCACCGAGCCGTCCCGGTCTTCCAGTGTACTTAACTCTAACCTTTTTTTTTGATAACTCAGGAGAAAATGCGTCATGCATTCCTTTCGGCCCGGGAAGACCGAGAGGATATGTTGGACGCAGCGCCCTCAATCCGGTGTTAACCACCGGGGGCGCTACCTTACCAATTAAAACTCCTGGGGGTGTACTACCTCTGGGCAAAATAGAGACGACCCGGAACCACTAGTTAGCATCACTTCAGGCCGCCCCCGAGCCCTGCTAACCGGCTCTCAGTTTTATGGAAAAATGTTTTAGATAAAAGTTTTATTGTTTTTTATAGTCTTCACAATGGCGTATCACATTTTTCAACAATGCTAAATTTTTTAATTTACGTTGAATTTTTTCTTTGACTTCTACTTCCTCCGAAGTTATCGGACTTTGTGGAAAGTTCAAATAAGTAAAAGTTGCATAGAGATAACAACATTATCACGTTGTATGGATTAAACCGCATCTAAAAAGTTATTAATATTAAAATTAATATTTGTTTAGAACTTTGGTTATATGTATGTATAATCCATTAAATTTCCTTTCTCAGACTCGTACGACTTTGGAGTCTTGCAATCCAAACGAATGGGTTATGACAAATACAACGTTAAAAATGGGTAATAACACGAAAATGATTACATGTGACATTACTTACAAAGAGGTAAATATTACTAATAACTATATGTATTTATATGTAGTGCTAACTACATTTATATAATACAAGGCATAATACAAGATACATTTATAAATATAAAACATGCAAAATCTTTGAATTTAAAAATATATGTATAATAACAAAATTTTAATTAAACATGTTATAACTCTGCATATAAAACACTTATGTATTAAATATTTTATCGCAAAATATGTTGGTATAATTACAAAATATTTTTAGGCGGGCGATCCCGTAATATATACGATACATATTGTGATAGATGGTTGTAACAATCGTACTGTATGTACCGGCAAACCAATAATATGGTTGGAAGATATCAACTGTGATGCCAAAAATCTCACAGAATTAGACATGAACGCTTGTAAAGTTGCAGATGTAATTATATATTTTCTATAATTAATTAATTTTACAATATACTTATGTATATATATTGCTTATTTCCTACACAATCACATAACTAAAAAATGTTAGTTTTTAGTTTGCAAAAGAATTATTTGAATTCAATACATTGAATAAAGAGCTACATACATACATACAGCTAAAGATTTTTATTCTTCTGTAATCAGTTAGTGGCACCAAATGAAATTTAAAAATATTAAAAATTTTAATAATTCAAAATATTCAAATTTATTTTTCAGAAAATTTTTTATTTTTGTACTTTTTATATCATTGCTGCAGCAACTAAGCGATAAAAAGAAGTAAAAGTGATTCGAGAGCGTACATATGTATGTATAATATGTACACTAGGAATCATTGATATCTTCCCATATGGATTTAGGCATATGTAGAATACATATACATTTTCCATGTATGTATGTGCAAAATGTGTTGATGTGTGATGTGGGTACAAATTCATGTGAGAAGGTATCAGTGATTCTTGTGTTCATATATGATTCATCGAATTCACAGTTTATACGTTTCCCATGAAAGCAAAATGATCTGTTTTGGCACTTTTTGTAAAAATCAATCCATCAGTTACATTATTGAGTAGAAAATTATAACATTATGTTACTACTACTTCATGTTTACTAGATACTTACTTTCCATTTGCCTAAAAATATGGGAATTATTATAAGATAAGATGCTAAAACAGTAAGAGTTTGCATATCATTTTTATCGTAAATTTTATTTGTTTTATTGTGTTTTAAAAAACCTTGATGCACTCTTGCTTGATATCACACAGCAGAATGATTCGGATGTTGTCTATTTAGATTTTTAACTTGATAAATTACAGCTATTTGACGATAATTTATGTAATAATTGTTTAAAATTGACAATATATCAACCATTTCTAATATAGTCTCAAATAGCATAGTAGATGATCGTTATAAATTCGAAAATGTATTTAGTTTTTACAATCTGTATGAATTACCGTGATTTGTTTAAAATATACTTCAAAAAAATTCTTTTTCGGTGTAAATTTTTGTAGAGTATAAAAAGAATTTGGAATTCATTTTAGAGCAGATTATTCGGAAGAGCACTCAGAGTTGATGAATAAAAATGATAAAAGAATTCTTTTTGAACTTTTTAGAATATAAATAGAGTGGAAAATTTAGTATATAATTCGGGAATTTAAAATGAATTCTTTTGGAATTTGCTGTGCTATCTGATTGTGAGATACATGTATATCGTCAAGTATAGGAGGAATAAAATATCGGACCGGTAATATACAGGGTGTACCTAAACTGGCGATAAATATTTTAATGACAAGTACTTTGTAATATTTTGAGACGAAAATTCTAATACGAAAAAGTCGAGGCTATAATAGTTTTCAAATGGGAACAGTTTAAACATCTCGAATAGCAAAGCTAAAATTTCGCGCGCTCAGGGATGGCAAAATGACCAGTGATAAAGGTGCCTTTTTGAACCACACGTCTTTGACACTAATGAAATTAGTGTAAAAATGTATGCAAGAGTTTTATTAAGAAACTGTTTCTGTTTATTTGCAATGAATTTTAGAAATACTTTAAAATGTTTTTGTTCAATAGTTCAAATCGATATTGATTTGTGTCAACTGTCATCAGCATATCTATTTGGTTAAATAGCGACAAATGTCATCGCGGAGATTTACCAATTTAACCAAATAGATATGCTGATGACAGTTGACACAAATCAATATCGATTTGAACTATTGAAAAAAACATTTTAAA